TCAAATTTCATTCAATATCTTATATTTCATTCACTTATTTCCAACGACTTCCTCACACCTCCCTTTTTGTATTCCACTTCTATTATTTGTTTCAGCAATTCCTTTCCATCTTACTCTATTTTCTGTTCTATAATTATCTTAACACATTCTTCCCATACTTTTCCTTTAATTTTCTATTAATCTATTTATACTTAATTCCTTATGACATTTCTACTAAAGCCATGTAATTTCATTCCAACATTTTTCTAACATTCCTTAATTTTACAATATTTCTATAAATAGTCTTTAAACTTTTTCCATTCTTCTTCCACCAACTCTTCACCCTGGTCTCGGATCTTGCCAGTCATTTCCGCCAATTCCCTATAGTCCATCAACTTCATCTGCCATTGTCCAATGCTTCAGTGTTTTCAAAAAGCAACCATTCTCTCAACCAGCAAAAAGCAGATGGTTCACAGTGAAGTTTAAAGGTCTGGCAGGGCAGGTCCACCTCCTTCTTTAGCATCCATCAATATCTTAAGTTTGACTCGAGGCTTCCTGCCCTGCCAAACAACTCTAGGAGCATCCCTCTGCCACCTCCTGAGACCCTCCATCCCATCCAGAGCTTGCAATGTTTGAAACAAAAGCAACATCCCCAGCAACACAGCAGCCCCTCGTCCCCACCACAATAACTCGGCCCAACAGTAACAACTTCTGATTTGTCCATATTTCCAAATCCCCCTTCTCTTCGATCCAACATCCTTCACAGTTGTCCTTGAGCAGATTCACATTTTTGGCGGTCATACTAACCCCCGAATACCTCTCTATCTCAACCAATGTTAGTCCTGTCACCTCCTGAAACTCTGTCAGGCTTTCCTTTTCCAATTCAGATAGGGCTCTGGTCCTCAAATTCATCCGTTCTTCTTTAAGTTCAATCATAACGAATGTCAGCTTATGTTCATCAAGTTGTCTTTGTATGGATGGGACTCTCCTCTCCAGTTGTATTGCTTTAGAATCAGCAGCAAGGATTTTTTCCCTGACTTCATCTGCAGTTTGCCGTTTCAGAGTAGATTCCTGTATCAGTTTCTGGGTGGTTTCTGAATTGGTATTCACCTTTTGTCCCATATTATTTAGACTTTCTACAATTAAATCAGCTTCAATATTTGCAACATCTAATTTCACATTTATCGCATCTGTTTTCTTATGGAGTTGTTCCAGCGAATCGTTTATTTTCAATAATGCAGCCACTAAGGCCTCCTCTATCAACATCCCGTCTGTTTTTTCCTTTCCATTTGCCATAACACTTAAGAGATTCAAGGTCAATTCCAAAGTCTCACACTTTTTATCTTGCAGCTGGAAATTCCCCTAGCCCAGCTCCTATAAAGTAACCAATTTCAAAAGCTTCCACTAGGGGAGTATTTGTATCGGTCAATATGTCCTCTTTTAAACACAGTTTCAATAATCCAAAGTTAGTTTCAATTTTCAGTTACTTTCCTCTTTTTTAAAAAACAACCGGAAACAGTGGAAACAATGTATTTCTCATATTTAACTAGCTGTCAATGAACGTTCTAAACGCTGTCAATGAACATTAAAAAAAAAAGGAAAAGGAAAAAACATCAGTCTTACTAGCAGCCTGTTTCCAGGGTCAGAGCGGCGGTGTTTTGAGCCTCTTCGCTCTCTCCCGCAGGCATACTCAATCCGCAACTTCCCCCTCTCTTCTCCTGCCTCCAAGAGGGGGTTTAATGTTCTTTACCGTTGGAAATTTGATCTTTTACAAAAGACCTTCCAGGACTCCAGCTTGCAACTTCATTGCCTCAGTCTATTTACAAAAGGGAAGGCGGACTTCCTGTTTTGAACCTCCCCGTTACGATACCAAATTAAACTTTTAGAGATCCAATTCTTCCGTTTCAGCTCTACTCATGGGTAATTCCTTTAAATTCAAATTGTCCACAGGAAAAGGTCAGCGCTCTCCGGCAACAGCTATGCGGCTTCGCTCCGTGGAAGAAGCAGACGATTCGATGCACCGCGCCGCTCACCCCACGTCGCTCCGGAGCCCCAAAATCGGGGTTCCCCGCGAGTGGGGGAGGCGCAAAAGGTGCCCGCCGAATCCCACGTTCACAGGCTTCTCCCGCCTGTGATTTTAACGGGCCTCTGCCTTCGCCGTGGCGGCCAGACCCAGATTTCCACGGAGCAGATTCCTCCCAGTCAGAGGAATTCTGCCATTGCTGGAGGCGCCTCCCCCGGAAGTCGCAAAGGAGCCTTCTTATCCCCTAGATTATAGTAACCTATATTTCATACGTTGTAAAGAAGATGATGATGAAGAAGAAGAAGAAGAAGAAGAAGAAGAAGAAGAAGAAGAAGAAGAATTCTGTACGATCTCTGCAACTAGAATTCTTAAGACCGTTAGGGAATACTTTGCAGGTATATTAGGCAATGAGCACCACAAGCTTTTGATGGGGACTAATACAGTAAGATGGATATGTTTAGGACATTGGAATGGAACTTACAGAAGACATCAGGAAGTGGCTATAAATCAGTCCAGCACAGTCATAGAATAGCATCAGTTCATGGGGGAATAAGGAAAGATAGCTCTGAAAGGGGGCTATGCTGGGACGATGGAATCAGGAAGGACCTCATGTAACCACAGCAAGAGGATTATAGAAGCTGCCTTATGCTGACTCAGACCTGTCATTGGCTCTGGCTCCACCTACTGTTGGCCTCCCTGCCTTCTCCCCACCAGCCTCAATGGGCACTAACCACCAATGGCAACAACACTAGGCAGAAGGAAGCTTCCTAGGTCCCTAAAATCAGTTTAGGGAAGTGCTCATGTCCTTAACCCAAATTACTTCAACAGCTTCATTCTCATCAGTGCTAGAACTTTGTGGAGAGGTTTGGCTCAGACTTGTTGAGCTTCTTGCTTCTTAGGGCATCCCCCCCCCCACTCCTTCCTATGAAACCGGGGAGAGTCCCTTCCCTGCAATTAACAAGCTCCAGATAGAACTTTCTCATCAGAATTCTCCCTTGTCAGCATTCTTTTTAATTAGTACATTTTCCATTTTCTGTGAGAATCTATTATGAGAACCAATTCGGCACGGGGACCAGTTTTGTGGGGGCTTTGTACTTAAAGGAGATGATCTGTCACTAGAACCCCTTTTAAAGTGCCACGTGGCTCTTCATCTCTGAAACGCATCTGTGCAATCTAAAGCTTTACTTTTAAAAAATCAAGCACATACATTGATGGAGAGAGTCACAGTTGTTCTTATCTGGCAGGCTAATTATGTAGAGGGGTTTTTTTAAGTGACTGAATACACACACACACTATAGCATGACTTCCTTATCAACTATATAATGTTTCAAATGAAGCCAAGACTTGCATATTCTGGGTATTATGCTAACTATGGAAGTTTGAACACACAGCACAACCAATGAACTTTGCTTTCTCCACAGTCATTCTATACCATTATATTTCAGAATGGCTACGTGAAGGCAAGAGGCATAAAAAAAGAGGAACTGACACATTACATGCAAGGATGGTGTCACACATATTAAATAGCTGCTAAATTCCTATTAAATCCAAGGGTTAATCCACACAGATCTGATAACTGTACTAGAACCCTGGCAGGAGGAAATGCAAAATGTTACTTAATACATTCGCAGCTTTCCAACTATGCTAGGAATATTGCTTTTTAAAATTGCTGGCAATTCTCAAATTTCAGGCTACATAAATGCTAGCTCGTGTATCCCATTTCTCTTATGTAAAGAGAGAGAAAGAGAAATAAAAGATGCTCAGCTTTGATAGTGCTTCTCACCTGTCGGGAGAAGTGAGAGTTTCTTGATCCACGGCAAGCAGACAGTCACGGCTGCTGAGGCGGCAGAAGTCTATTTCAGGGGAAGCCAAAGTGGGGCCCTCCAGATGTTGCTGGACTCCAGCTCCCAGCAGCTCCATCAGCATGGCCAAAAGAGGATTAGACAAATTCATGGAGAAGAGGGCTATCAATGGCTACTAGAGATGATGGCTATGGTCTGCCTCAGCAGTTGGAGGCAGCAATACCAGTTGCTGGAAACCACAGAAGGAGAAAGTGCTCTTCTGCTCATGTTCTGCTCCTTGGTTTCCCACAGGCATCTGGTTCTCCACTTTGAGGACAGGATACTCGACTAGATGGGCCATTGGTCTGATCCAGCAGGCTATTATATTCTGATTAGTCAGGGATGATGGGAGTTGTAGCCTAGCAAACATCTCCAAGGCACCACATTGGCTATCGCCAATCTATTTGGCATTGCTTGTGGTGTGCAGAAGTGTCAGGTGTTTACCTTCACCTCACCCCACAGTTTTCTCCACACAGCACCCCTTGACACTCACAGAAGCACACCCCAAAGGACAGTACACCTTTCGAGAGCTCCTAAATACATAGAAATTGCAATGGGAGATGGCATTCTGGTTTTGACTAGAGAGGAATAGGGAGACATCCAGAAAAATGACAAAATGAAGACCTGAAACTGTTAACCGGGCCAGCACCTGAGGTAAACTCCAAAATGGTGTCCCCCCTTCTGCCAGGGAAGAAGGGATGAGGGAAGAGCTACATCAGGAACAAGGGGTGTGTGTGTGTGTGTGTGTGTGTGTGTGTAAGAAAGCTCAACATCAGGATCTGCCACTCCAGTGGATCTTGCCACCCGAGGCAGTTGGCCCACTTGGCCTCATGGGTTAAGCGGCCCTGACTGTTAAGATGCCGCTACTGAGTCCTGCAGTAGCACAGAGAGGCTGTCAAGAAGACATCAAGAAATATCTGCCATCACCCCTCCCTGTGCTCAAAATTCTGAGGTTGTCCAAATGAGCTCCTGCTACTCAAACACTGAAGCAGACTGAAAAACACATACGTGTGCCCAGGGGGTGGGGGAAACACCCTCCTAAACCAGGCTAGCAGGCAGGTTGTTTTCTTTCAGTCCTGTGGGGCAGGGACCTTTGGTGCCCGAGCCTGCTGCTTCCTTAGGGCAGTAGGAGAAGGACTGTAATTCAGAGGCCCATAGAGATCAGTGGTAGAGCATCTGCCTTGCAAGCAGAAAGTCCCAGGTTCAACCCTTAGCAACTCCAGGCTGGGCTGGGAATATCTCCTGTCTGAAATCCCAGAGAGCAGTTGCCGGTCAATAGACAACACTGAGCTAGATGGACCCATATCCTGTTATAGGTCAGCTTCCTGTGTTTCCTAGTTGTCATTATTAACATGATACTGACACACTCATTGTGTGCACTGTCAGATGTATCAATGGACTAGATGGACCAATGGTCTGACTCAGTAAAAGGCAGCTTCCTATGTTCCTAGTTGCCCTCAGCTTTGCACAAGCTCCCCCACCCTCAATGCTGGTTGAGAGGCCCAGGTTGGTGCAGATGTCTTTGGCCCTCCAAACCTATCAATGGGAGTTTGGCTGGGCTTCAGAAGGACCTCTATGTGCTATTTTTCCCAGCAAGCTCTTCAACAGGTAACCTTTCTGCCCCTCTGTGTCCTGAATGCTGAATAATCTTGCTCTCTTGAAAAGGAGTAATCAGAACCATTCGGTTTTCTTCCAGCCAGCCTGGGCCCCAGGTGGCACAGAGCCATTCGGTCCTTTCAGAAAGCCTCCCTCGAGCCAGCCAGTCCCCAGTCCTATTCCTTTTGGGACGCGAACGCCTTGTACAAGGAGACTTGGTGACGTCAAGGCAAGCCCTATTCCATTGTCCCCAGTTATTATGAGAAGCAAGGAGTAGTTTATATGCCACACCTCGGTCGTCAGGAAGTCAGAAAGCATAAATCTCCACTGGGAGGGAAGGCAGTTTGTTTGCAATTCACTCATTTCTTAAAGCTGGAACAGCAGATGACGGCGCTGAAGACCAGTCACTTGTGGTCTATAACCCATTGGGAGTTCTGGACTAACTGCCCCAAACTCAGTCCTAGCAGGCAGTTATAGTAGAGTGAAACCTTCTGTGGTTTCAGGGGTTTGTGAAGTGCACACCTCTCGGCTCAGTAGACGTCTCTCTGGATATGTTATCTGCATCAAAACAGGCTACTGTGTTCTCTACATCACCCCATCTCCATTGCCATGTAAAGAAACAGGTGGGACGAAGAGTACCTAACAAATAACAGTGCCCCATTCCCTGTATTTTGGTGCTCCTCCCTCTTTTGTCATCATTTCCCCTCTTGTAAAAGAAGGGTAGAGTTCCTTGGGGCTGAACTGTATCCCCTATGCTATTTAATATCGACATGAAACTGCTGAGTGGGGTCATCTGGAGTTTTGGAGTACGTTGTCAGCAATATTCTTATGACACATAGCTCTGCTTGTCATTTACATCTTCAAGTGAGGCAGTGGAAGTGCTGGGCCATTGTCTTGTCTTGGTAATGGACTGGATGAGAGCCAACAAACTGTAGCTCAATCCAGATAAGACAGAGGTGCTTCCAAGAAATGCTTGCACTGATGGGACAAGGCAACCATTTGGTGCTCCTTCTGGACTGAATTTCACAACAAACTGTGGCTTGGTTGATGCAAACCTGGTTTCACTGCCTCCCAAATAATACACCCGGAGCCTTGCCCATATAAAAAGAGGCAGTGGCGAGAACTTCCACAGATAATGCCGGCTGAGTGGTCTTGTCCCTGCCCTGCCTTTTGCCCCACAGCTAACAAAGATAATGAGTAACACTGATATTAAATAGGGATTTGGGAGCTTTCTTTTTTGGAAAGTGGATAACACATTACAGCAGATAGGAAAATCCATCAGACTTTATTTAACTGTAACATTTATTAAGAGGAGTGAAAAGGTCAGTGCGGAGCTTGCGGCGTATGGGCTAAACTCCTTTCCCCAGCCCTGAAAGCGACAAGAAAGCAGATCCTTTAAGATGCAACTATCTTAAGCTCCCCTCCGCTGTTTAAACTCTTGGTAATTCTAGGTTTTGGAGACAAACGTCAAAGCAGAGGGCTCTTCCCTTCATTATTCAAGTAAAGGCCCCATCAATATTATCTGTAATAAGAATCTGCTGTTGACATGGCTCACCCTGCAGTTCCTGTTCCAGGCAGCAGCCTCTGTCAATAGGATTAAAGTGAAGGAATGCCTTTGACAAGCCCACTGGCTGCTGGTTCACTGCTGCCATCAGGCTGCCAAATTGAAAAGGCATTAGGCACCATTGTGGGCCGACGAGGGCAAGCCGAGAGCAAGCTCGTCCAAATGGGGGACTTACACCTTAAGACTTCACCTGGACTTCTGCGGCTCTGCGGGTCAATCCATGTGAATGTCATCATCTTCCATGGGGGTGGGAGGGAGACGGTAAATCCTCATGCGGCTAGGAGGGCACAGCTTCCTCTTGCCATTCCCTCCTACCCCAGCGTGTTGCAGAGTCTGCTGGAGGGACAGCCAGCATTGAAGGGATGTAGGAATCTGCCTTATACCGAGTCAGATCATTGGGCCATTTTGCTCAGGGCTGTCTATGCTGGCTGGCAGAGGCTCCCCGGGTTTTGGGGAAGAGAACTCTCCAAATCCTGCCTGGAGATTTTGGGGCTCAAACCTAGGACCTTCTGCCTGCAAAGGAGATGCTTTGTCATGGATGTATGGTCCTTCCCTAATAGGGTGCTCAGCAAATAGGGTGTTGGGATCAAGCCATAGCTGTCAACTTTCCCCCCTTTTTAAGGGAAATTCCCTTATTCCGAATAGGATTCCTTACAAGAAAAGGGGACAGTTGACAGTTATGGATCAAGCCCTGCTACAGGGGGAACTGGCAAGAAAACATTGCTGTATATCCTCGCTTCCTAACAGGAGTGGTTCAGAGGTCCAGCCAGCCATGCCATCCTTGTGGAAACTCCATTGCCCCCTGCCTCCTGCTCTTTTTTCTATTTTTCTTTCCCAACAGTCAATATTCTGGTTTTTTATTATTATTTTCATTAATTTCCAAATTATTACAGATCAAACCAAATTACTTCAATTTAATATAAACGGTCAATATTCTGTCTCTTGCTTGTGAGCTTGCTCTGTTCTCATGGGGCTGTTGTTTTAGGGGGTTGCCTTCTCGCTTATATCATTAAAAAAAACCAACCAACTAAATCTTTATTTCTAGTTCTTTTACACACCTTTTTTGAAACCCACCCTGGGATTGGTGGATGGCGGTTGGGCTAAAAATGCTCTGAAATAAACAGAGAGACCTCTCAGAGTTCTCCCCCAGCATGCTGGTGCCTCCCCTTCTTGTTTCTCATTTTGGCTTCAATCCTGGCAGCACTCAGCACCTGCATTTGCTATTGGAAGGAGTGATTATTTCCTCAGCTGATTAGGAGTGTATATGAGCCAGCTGGAAATCAGCAATCACTGTAATTACAGTTCATCTGTAATTATTGCTAATCAATAATCATTAAAATAGCAGTTTCATGGGACAATCCGTTCACGTGCAGGCACAGTGCCCACATACAAAGAAATCCTCATAAGGTCCCCATATAGGGGGGAATCTTATCCATGGTTGAAGACGGCAGATCCACGCCATGCGTTTAAAGTACATTCAGTGCTTTAAGGGTGCTGGGAACTGCAGTTCTGTGAGGGGAAACTACAGCTCCCATGATTCTTTGGGGGGAGTCATGTGGGATTACAGCTTAACTGTCTTAAATGGAGCAGAAAGCCAGGTGAAGGTTGATGTCCTCTGCTTATGGTAAGGATTAGCACAAGAAGCAACTATGCAAGGTTCTAGTATAGTCATCATCATCATCAACAACAACAACAAAAACAACAACATCATTTATTATTTATTCCCCGCCCATCTGGCTGGGTTTCCCCAGCCACTCTGGGCGGCTTCAAACAAAATATTAAAAATACAATAAAGCTTCAAACATTAAAAAACTTCCCTAAATAGGGCTGCCTTCAGATGTTTTCTAAAAGTGAGATAGTTGTTTATTTCCTTGACATCAGATGGGAGGGCATTCCACAGGCCGGGCACCACTACCCTCTGCCTGGTTCCCTGTAACCTCACCTCTTGCAGTGAGGGAACCACCAGAAGGCCCTTGGCGCTGGACCTCCTTATGAGTTAAGATGTATAGCCAAAGATATGAGGCCACCGCATTCCTGTGAAGAGTCCTTGCTCTTGTTGGAGTCTTTGCATCTTATTCAGAGTATCAAAATAAAGAGCAGCACTTAGTCTTTCAGTCATTAGTCTAAGGCAGGTTGGGCAGGTGGCACAGAGAACAGTGACAGTGTACTTCTAGGTGTGTATTACTCAGATCTAAGTCCCACTGGAGTCAACTGGACTTGCACACAGGCAGTTGTGTGCTCCCTGTATTTCAATTCCAAATCTAGCCACCATTTATTTCATAATCAGCCTAAGAAACTTCCCAGGGTCAAGTTCATAACTCAAACTCAGAGGTTCTCCTGCAAAAGCTGGACTCCAGTCCTCTGTGTTACTTATTTGGTAGACTTCCAACCTTCCTTTATCTAGAAGTAGGTTACAAATCCGTAGAACAATGAAAACAATAACAACTATTTTTTTAAAAGAAAAAGAAAACAAGTTTACACAACACTGCTTAAGATTAACTCTCACCTCTCCAAATGCCTTTGGAAAAGGAATGTCTTCATGTTAACTTCAGAAAAAAAGCCAAATGGGCCTCTTGGGATTCAAGTTCCCTCATTACCTCATTTTCTGATATGAACTTCTTTTCAGTCCCAGACGGGATGGCCAAAGACATGGCACAAATGGTATAGGAAAAGGGTCCCTTCCCATTAAGTTGCATTTGCATTCCCTCTTGTGTTAATTTGGGGTGGGGAACCTCAGCCCTGAGGGCCAAATGCAGTCCTGCAGCCTTTTATCTCTGGCCCTTGAGACTCTCACAGAGCCACACAGCCTCCTCAGGCTGCACCCCTCACCAGACCTGCTTTGCATTTGCCACGAGTCTTTTGGCCTGGCTGAAATGTGCCCTGGGACTCGGATAATATTTCTTGCTTGCCTGGGTGAAGGATAGAGAAGGGGCTGTGAGTGTATAGAAACCAGCTGACGGCAAGATTTATGCTTGTTGCTCCTCCCACTTTTGCCTATGGCCCCTGGTAGGTTGCCCAGAAGCCAATGTGGCCCTTGAACTGGAAAAGGTTCCTTACCCCTC